ACGTTCTTCTATGTCTACACACATGGATGGGCCTCATTTTTTTTTAATGGCCATGTGGTATGCCTTTTCGTGGCTGTACCACCATTTATCTACCAGTACCCTATCAAGGGCCACACAGGTTGTTTCAGTTTTTATTTTATTGTGTTCTCTTATTATTTTGCTATCACAAGCAATGCCATGTTAGGCAGCCTATACAAGGTGTATATCTTAATATATTTGGACAAATAAATCTGAAAAATGGAGCTTCATTTATTGTGAGCCTAAGTAATCAAAGGCGCTGTATGGCGTCTCATAAATACAGATACACTCTTCTGATACTTTTTTTTTTAAGTATAACATGTATACAGAAAAGTATGCAGAGAGATGTTCCCAAAGTGAGTTCACCCGTGTAACCAGCACGTGGATCAGGAAGCAGAATGTTATCAAAACCTGAGGAGCCCCCTCGTGTCCTTTCCTAGTTACTATCCCCCTGCTCGAAGCCCCACCACTCTCCTGACTTTTTGCCTCCATGAATCAGCTTTGCCTGTGTTTGAATTTTGCATCAGTGGAATCATGCCGGCCTCCTTTCATTGAGCGTTCTGTTTCTGGGATTCATCCCTGTTGTTGTGTGGTGTTGTGGTTCGCTTATGCTTGTTGCTGTTTAATATTCCGTTGTGTCAACATTCCACAATTTGTCCATCTACTGTTGATGGGTGTTTGGGTTATTTCCAGTTCAGGGCTACTATGAACTGTGCTTTATGAACATACTGGTATGTATCTTTTGTTGAAGATATGTAGACGCTTCAGTTGAGGATATACTAAGGAGTGGAATTTCTAGGTCATGGGGCTTATGCATGTTCAACTTTAGCAGATACTGCCAAGCAGTCTTCCAATGGTTGTACCAGTTTGCACGCTACCATGGACTGAATGTTTATGTTCCCCCAAAATTCATATGAGGAAACCCTAACCCCCAATGTGATGGTATTTGGAGATGGGGCCTTTGGGAAGTGATTAGGGTGGAGCCCTCATATGGTGTTAAGTGCCCAAGCGATCCTCCCGCCTCCTTGTCCCAGAGCTCTAGGAGTACAGGAGCCACTGCACTAACTCTTACCATGATTCTGTGCAGGGGTAGTTCTTAGAGAACTACTTTTATTTATTTATTTATTTTGAGACAGAGTCTTGCTCTGTTGCCCTAGCTAGAGTGCAGTGGCACCATCGTAGCTCACAGTAACCTAAAACTCCCAGGCTCAATTGATCCTCTTGTCTCAGCCTCCCGAGTAGGTGGGACTACAGGCATGTGCCACCACGCCCGGCTAATTTTTCTATTTTCAGTAGAGATGGGGTCTTGCTCTTGCTCAGGCTGGTCTTGAATTCCTGAGCTCAAGCAATTCTCCCACCTCCGCCTCCCAGAGCACTAGGATTACAGGAGCAAGCCACCGCACTTGGCCCAGAGAACTACTCTTGATTGATCTGCAGGTCTTAGAAATCTAGCTGGGGAGTGGAAGAGTGGGACTGAAAGAAAGCTGTGCTTAATTGGGTCTGGAGGATATAAATGACAGCTCTGGAAATACCCCCCCCCCCCCACCTCAAGGTGAGATGGCTGTAGGTGAGAACATCCTTTTAAAAACAGCCCACCTGGCCCTGGGATTTCTGCTGCTCTGTCTACATTAATGGCCCCACAAGATCACTCAAGATGGGAGAAAAGCCTCCCTAAGGGAAAGCAGAGAATCGAGCCCTGGATTCTTTAGTGGCCCCAGGTGGGAAATTGTTTTCTTCCAGCCCATAAAGCAGCGTCTGTTCCGCTGTGTTTACTATCCACCTTTCTCTGCAGACCGGGAGAAGCAGGCCTAGGTGGATGAGCTGTGAGGGGAATTTATGCACCAGACTCCAGGAGAATTCCTTAGGACGCCTTTACCTTTCCTCTGGCACACCAGCGGGGTGCAGCCCCCCAAATCCACTTAGCCCGAGGGGAACATCCAGGCTGCAGTTAGGGGACAGGCCAACATCTCAGAAGAGAAAAGGCTGGACTGAAAACATATTGCAACCAGGGATAGTCTGCAGAGTGTTGGAGGCTGACATCCCCTAGGAAGAGTGCTCAGGCTTGAGCCTAAGAAACCATCAGAGAGCCCTATGTCCAGGAGCAGAGAGAAGTCCGGAAGAAGCCAGGAAGCAGTTGCTGGGAGCAGTTGGAGGAGTCTGGGGGGCAGCCCTGCTGTTATTTTTATTGTGTGAGGAGTCTGTTGGGGATGTATTTCCCTGACGGGGAATTTTAATTCTCCAAGCACAGCATTTTGCTGCTTCTCATTAACTGCAGAAGAGTACCAGCCACCTGCTAACATGTCAGGCAGGCGAAGAGGACTTCATTCCTACGGAAGAGACACTACAGTGGAACACCTGAACCCTCTTCCTGCATCTGTGATACAAGATTGGTTTTGAATGGTCTTTGAAATCCTACTATGTGGATTCTATTGGATCCCAAGTTCAAAGTAGCCCCAGCTAATCAACTGCTGTCGCCACCTGTTGGTGGGGGACTGAGCTGATGCCATTTCTCTGCCACGATTTCCTCAGTCAATCAGTGACTTCTGAGCCCACACATTCTGCTGCTTGGTGAAAACATTTTTCCCAGTTTTTTTTTTTTAATTTAAATAAACTTTTTATTTTTAAATGGTTTTCCATTTACAAAAATTTAATAGTTTTAGATTTAAGAAACTAAAAAATAATTTTAGATTTCTTTACAAATAATTTTAGATTTGTAAAGATTGTAAATAGATTTCTCATGTATTTTGTCCCCATTTTCCCTGTTGTTAGCATCTAATATTAATATTACATTTATTACCACTAATGAATCAACACCGATATACTCTCATTAACTAAACTCCACACTTTATTCAGGTTTTAACTTTTCTCCCTAATGTCTTTTTTATTTTCCAGGGTCCCATACAGGATGCCAAAGTAAATTTAGTCCTCATGTCTCCTTAGGCCACCCTGGGTTATGCCAGTTTCTCAGACTGTCCTTGTTTTGTTTTTTGTTTTTTGTTTGTTTTGTTTTTGACAGGGTCTTGCTCTGTTGTCCGGGCAGGAGTGCAGTGGTGTGATCACAGCTCACTGCAACCTCAAACTCCTGTGCTCAAGCCATACTCCTGCTTCAGCCTCCTGAGTGGCTGGGACTACAGGTGTGCACCACCACACCTGGCTAATCTTTCTATTTTTTGTAGAGATGGGGTCTTGCTATGTTGCTCAGGCTGGTTTCAAACTCTTGGCTTCAAGCAATCCTCCTGCCTTGGCCTCCCAAAGTGCTGGGATTATAGGTGTGAGCCACCACGACCAGCCTGTTAAATTAATGTTGTATGCCTTTTTCTTTTATTAATCTGTTTATTGTCATTTTAAGCGAACCTTCAGAGAGTAAAGGGGAAGCTTTCCCTTGGCCCCTACCGCCCACTCTGCCCAGAGTAGAAGAGCCAGAGAACTAATGACCGCTAGGAGCTCCCCTCAACCAAGGACTGATGGGAGATGGTGTATAAATATCTCAGCTCCCTTGGGCCTTGGGTGGGACACTCTGAGGTGTGTTCTGCATTGACTTAGAGTTTCCCCGGTAGGATCAAGCTCCAGTCACCTGTGGTAGTGACCGGTGTGATCACGCACCGTTTACAGGCCACCTTCCCTTCACCATTGCATTTTCCATGCCCCTGTTGGTACTTCCCCAGATCTTCTTCAAAGTAAACTACTTGTTCTCACCTCCTTATTTCAGGGTCTGCTTCTGAGAGGGCCCAAAGTTAAACAGATGATGATCGTATCAGCCATTTATGTACCAGGACCTGACTATGCCCCAGGCACCCATGTCACCCTGCCAGGAGCTACTCCCAGCCTCACTGGACAGGTGAGAACACTGAGGCTCAGAGAGGCCTTGCGCAGGGGCCCAAAGCAGGCAGGTTGGATTGGAGACTGGCTCTTCTCACCATACCTGAGGCAAGACTCTTAAAAGCAGGATCTAGAACTAAGCCTGTGCTGCCTCTATTTCTCCCCAGGCTGGGGGCCCAGGGCCTGGCAAGCAGGAGGCACTCTGTACGCACACCCAGCCCATAAATAGTGAGCCCCACGGTGATGGCTAAATAGATCCTTCTATATGTATCACCTACTAGAGCCATTATAATAGCCCTAGAAATTGACTACTACTGTCATCTTCATTATTTTGTAGGAGAGGACCCCAAGGGGGAAAGTGGCCCGCCCAAGACCACATGGCCAGTGCTGGATGAAGCCCAAGCCCTTCACCAGTCTACCACAGGGATGGAGGGTGGTAGTGAACAAGTGAAGAAAAGCAGAGAGGAGGGAGGAGGTGAAGCCGTGGCTTACCCTGCCACCAGCTGGGTGACAACCCATCGCCCCATCTTGGATCACATCTCAATCACACACAGGGTAAATGGGTCTATTCCCTGTGAATTATCTGCTAGCTAGCAGCTCCATCCATCTGCTCATTAACACAATAAAAAAAATATCAAACGAACCTTCCGACTCCCATCCCCGGGAGCCCAGCTACATAACTTGGAAATGACTCTTTATTAAGTCTGATCAAAGGCTCATTGTTCAGTAATTAGAAATCATGGCCTCTCCCTCCAGGCGGGGGGCTCATAAACAACAGTTGGATGAAGTTTTTATTTGGGTTGGACCAAAAGCGTAGACGGATCCACTTGTTCCTAATTTGCAGCTGCTTCAGTGGGGAAAAAGCAGCAAGAGGCTGAGTTTTTGCTCGGGGAGACTCATTGGCTCCCCCGTCTGCAGCAGCAGCGAAGTTGAAGTGGGCCTCTGCCTGAGACAGGGCAAGGGCCTTAGGCACAAGCGCCAGCGCCAAGTCCAGGGCCGAGCACGCGTCTGGTCTCTCACTGAGGCTCCCAGAGCAGAAGGTGGCATGTGGCCAAGGTCTAGCCTTGGAGATCACAGATCACTGACCATCCAAAGACCCCTCTGGCCAGAAGAGGGTAGGCAGTGAGGAGGTTCAGCCAAAACACCAGGCAATTCCTTCATTGCATCATTCAATAAATATTTATTGAGGACCTACTATGTGCCAGCACTCTGCTAGGCACGAGGATCAGATGACAAATAAAAACTACAATGCCTGCTCTTAAAGATACCCCAGGCCAGTGGGGGAGGGAGGTCCTTCCTGAAGGAGAAAGTAAAGTGCAGAGTCAGAGAGGGCATGGGTGCTCCTGTGAAGAGGAAGATGGGGGCAGACCTCGCCTCCAGAGCTGAGAACAGAAACGTCTGCGTCCTCCGAGAGGATCTCTGCAAATACACCGCAAATCTGGAAACGCCACGTGCAGATCCAGCTGTGGCCTCCAAGCCCCATCTTTCTTCTCGTCCTCAAGCTCTCACGTACTGGACATTGGCGCCCAAGAACAGGAAGTTCTAGGAGAAACAGGATGGGACAACATGATAAAGAGTATCTTCTATTTCAGAGAGATCCATCTGCGATTGAAAGGGAGCCCACGTCTTGGGAAACACAAGCTCTGTGAGATACCCAGGTCAGTGCATAAATCACAAGTGTGACTCGGTCCCCAAGGTCTCCATAAAGCACAGCTTTTGCCAGCTGTCTTCTCCAAGGTAGCGATTTATCTGTCATTTCCAAAGCTGCTGCTTCCCGGCAGGCCTCTAAATGTCCTTTGTATCACCTAAATTTTCACTCCTTAGCGAATAACACAAAATCGTGAGCTGCTGGGATTTACTCTCCTGCTCTTCTTATGTCTCCAGCACCCAGAGGGGCAGGAAATCTGCACTCAAGGCCAAGTCCAATTCTTTCCCACAGTGATCAATCCCCTGCCTTTGGTGGTCAGAGAAATGGACAGAGTCGATCTCAAAATTCTAATGAATGTGATAATGTATAATAAATTTTCTAATCACTTTCCATGTGCAAACATCAAGCTACACGCTATCCTACTTGGCCTCTAATCTTCACAAAAGCCCAGTAAGGTTTGGGATCCACCCCATTTTACAGAGGGGAAAACTGAGGCCAGTGGTGTGAATTGTCACTCAGTCTTTGCTTTGAACAACAGTCTGTCTGGCTCCACTTGTAAACACTCAACAGTAGTTACGTGTTGTGTATCTTGGGGCCCAAAAGGGCTTTGGACCTCTGTTTCTTAAATATGACAGTTGATCAGTGTTTTAACGTTCCTATCCACCTCTGCCCTTCATTCCCTTTAATAGCTATTATTTTCAGGATGTTGATGATGTCCCAGGCACAACGCAGCATCTCCTAATGCTCATGAGTCTGCCAACCCAGGCATCTCACCTTGAAAGATGACCAGCAACTTGGGGGTACAAATGGACCACAAAATGCTTGGTCAGAACAGTAGTTAGAATAGTGAAAAAATCAGACATATTTCTTGGTATTAAGCAGTTAATTAAATTATGGCCCATCTGCTGGATGAAACCAAACACAGCTATTTAATGTTGGGAGGAGGAAACTAGGCTGCAACAAGGGGACAAGACTAAGTGGTGATGCTGAGTGTAACAAAAAAAAAAAAAAAAAAAGGAAAGAAAGAAAAAGCGAGTGTGAGCACTAGCAATGCAACTGTCCAAAACACACATAGAAACAAACAACAAAAAAATGTGTTTAAAGCTTCAAAAAAAAATGCACTGGAAGGAAGTGCGCTAAAATTCAAATGGTGGCTGCGGTGGAGCAAAGGGTTTAAGAATAATTTTTAAAAATGTAAATATAGGGGCTGGGCGCGGTGGTTCACACCTGTAATCCTAGCACTCTGGGAGGCTGAGGCGGGTGGATCGTTTGAGCTCAGGAGTTTGAGACCAGTCTGAGCAAGAGCGAGACCCTGTCTCTACTAAAAAAATAGAAAGAAAGTAGCTGGACAACTAAAAATATATATACATAAAAAAAAAAATTAGCCGAGCATGGTGGTGCATGACTGTAGTCCCAGCTACTCGGGAGGCTGAGACAGGAGGATCGCTTGAGGCTAGGAGTTGGAGGTTGCTGTGAGCGAGGCTGACGCCATGGCACTCTAGCCCGGGCAACAGAGTGAGACTGTCTCAAAAAAAAAAAAAAAAGAAAAAGAAATGTAAATATGGTTATAGTACTTATGGAAAATGGGAGGGCACACCAAGTTTAGAAGAAATTTAGAGCATTTTAGAACTTACAAATGGCTTTCAGAACCTGACTTGTTGGGCTTGCAGTATTTTCAAAATGAGCTCACCTTGAGGTTCCCTGAGGTCCCCTCTGGGGGTGGAAGGCAGTGGTGGCACAGGGCCGTGTCAAATGCCTCCTGCCCCAACAGAGGTGCTGCTTCTAAAGGACACGCAGGTGGCTTCATGGCATATAGCGATGCCCAGAAGCATCCTGCCCCCAGAAGGCCCCCAGCTACAGGGCTGGGCTGGCTACCACCCATCAGTTTGGCCTCTAAAGCTGGCAAGCTACTAACCAACACCCAGTCCCCAAATCCTCAGAGGCCCCCCTGAACTCACTGACCTTATGGATCTGGACAACAAGGTCGTAGAGCTGAACACGCTTTAGCAGAGGGAGAGGCAAGCCTACGGACAATTGATCTGGATGTTGAAGCACAATATTGAGAGGGATTTATTAATAAACAACAATCATAGACACATTTTTACCAAAGAATTTTGCTCTCTGTAAATTCTACACACAGTATATTCCCATTTAATGATCACCAAAGACTATGAGGTAGGTATAATTATTATGCCCATTTCACAGATAAGGAAACCGACGCACAGAGTAGCCAAGTGACTTGTCTTAGGTCATGCAGCCAGGTAGTGGCAGACGTGGGATTTGAACCCAGGGAATTAGAGCCCTGGAGGGAGATGAGGCAACCTTGAGGATTCCATCTCACAGACAGGCTCTGATAGAAGTGACTTGCTTACAGTCACACAAGCTCCAGGAGAGCCCTGATTCCCAACTCCAAGTCCAACCCTTTTCCCCAAAATGAGCAGTGTCCAGTCTTGACTTGGAAAAATCCATGGCAATTCTTACCGTTGATCTCGGAGTAGAGGACGTTGAGAAGGTAGTCGTTGATGAATGCTTCCAAGAGCTCCATCTGGTGGGGAACAGGAGAGGCTCACTGTGACCACCTGGGCCATCTTGCCCACCTAAACAGCCACACAGCCACCCTGGGGGTGGGGTGGTTCTGTATGTGTCGACACACATGTGTTGAAACACAACTTTTAACTCCCACTATATGGCAGGCAGAGGGCTCAGGATTTGAATCTAAATTTATATGAGTCGATAGTTCTTGCTTTTTACATTTCATGTTCCAAAAACCTGATGGGATAAATTTTTGTGAAACTTTACATTTGAGCATTTGACTTTATAATATTTTTTACCTGCGTGAGCAGATATGATATGAGTGTGTCATTATTCACTTCCCCCTTTATTCTCTGGAAGGAGTCATCCTTGAGGTCCCTGTGGCAGGGTCTCTGCCCATGGTTTATGTGCTTGTTTCCGCTTCCTAAGCACTTAGCAAGAGTCTGGGAAGCAAGGCAGGGGTGAAGGTGGGCAGGGGAGGCCAGTCGTGGGATGGTAAAAGGGGACAACTCCTGCCAATTAAAGATGCTCCATCTCCTTCCCTCCTTCCAGAAAGCTCTTCTTCATCACTTTAGCCCACACTCATCTTCCCCTTCTCTGTCCTCCTTTTGTATGAAGCCATTTACTTTACTTTTTTCCTCCTCGTTGCAGCCACCTCTTGGTTTTGTCTGCCCAGCATTCGATTTCTCTTGTTTTAATAACAGAGTTCTTATTTTTGGGTGTAGCTGACTGCAGATCCTGGCTCCAGGAGTGCAGATGAGATCCATGCTTGGCGATTGGTCCTGTCCACCTTCTGCCCACAGTGATTGGCTTCAGAACTGGGCACGTGACTAAGATGAGTCCAGTGAGAGCTAGCACAGGGTTTTGTTTTTTTTTTATTTTGCAGATTTTTTTTTTTAATAAGACTACAGGAAGCTCTGGAGTTTGCCACCCATCAGAAGAGCCTGCCTGAGAATGAAACCAACACATATGAAAGTAGAAGAGAGAGATGGAAATTCTTGGTGCACTAATTTAAGCACCTGGATCCAGCTCTGTCTGAAACCTCCAGTCTTAGTTTTCTGGTTGCTTTTTGTTTTTTAGTTACATAATCCTATACATTCCTCCTTTTTGTGTAAGACAGTTCGAGTTGGCTTTCTGTTCCTTGCAGTTAAAAGAATTCTGTCCAATGGATGATTTAATTATATATCGTCTTATATTAGGCTATAACTGCTCCTTGGCCCTATGTCTTGTGCTCTTGAGAGCCTCTGCACCTTCCTAGGGCAGAGATCAGCTCTTCTCCTTTTATATTTCCTATTATAGGTGCCATAGCAATTGCTTAGGGAACACCTTACGTTAATTAATATTCTAATCGCGTCATAAATGAAAACGATAACTTACATTGAATTGTCCAACTTTGGATTCTTTCAGTTCCACTTGTACCCTATAATGAATCAGAGAAGACTCAGAGATGTGGGCATTGGGCCCATGGGAAGCTTAAACGGTGCAGGGCTCCCCAGAAAGGAGGAGGCACTGGCTTTAGAAGGCACGGGGCCAAGGGTGGGGTGGGGGTGGGAGTGAAAAAGATGACCGAGTAACTAAAAGCGATGATACGACAGCACTGGGAAGACCGTTGGAGGGCAGGTGAGGTGGTGTAGAAGATCTCAGCCTTTGTCATTTCAGTAAGTTAAAATAGCTATGTCTATAATTCATAGATTAAGGAAGAGCAGTATTAGTAAATTCTTGAGAAATCTGAATTCTGGGGGGGCAGGACAAGTGGGGAAAAAGAATTGGCCCAATTGGGGTGAAATTTAAGTGTCTGTCCCAAATGGTGGGGCCCCCACATTGACAGGAAGATCTCGTCACACCCTTACCCCCGGCTACAGAGAAGCGGCTACAGTGTGCAGACGAAGCCCAGCTGAGTGCGCCCATGTGGGCAGGAGGTCAACTTACTTTTCAGGTTTCATGTACCCACTGATCTTGGTGGCGTTGAAGGTCGACGTGATGGACACATTAGTGGCCTGGAAATGCCCGTAGAAGGAAACAGGTCTAAATGACGGAAGTTGTCACATGCAGGAAGGCTGGTGACAAGGACCAGCTGTCTCCTCCCAACAAACAGCTCAACGAGTTAGAGCAGGAAATTTGCCCACTAGGCTGCAGACTCCCAGAAGGCTCATTGTAAGTGCTCAATAAATGTTTGAACTTGGACTTGAACGCGTTTACTTGAAATTGTTGACTACAACAGCAGTTAAACTTTGAACAGATTACCAAGAGAAGGTGTAGAGCACCTGTCCCTGGAGAACTCTAAAAAGGATAATTTCTAGCTATATCAGGGACAAGATTCAGCCCCAGAAATAATAATAATAATATTTTAATTTAAAAATATATTACTAATAATACCAACAACAATTTTGATAACAGTAACAACATCAAATTACAGATATGGCATCTAGGAGGGATTATCCTTTTAGAGATCTGACTTGTTGAGTTTGAAAAGTCAAGAAACAAGAAAGCAAAGTTCTCCATCCAGTGAGAAGGGCCCCCAGAGCACTCAGCCTGTTCCCTATTAGACAGGCTCTGTCAAGAAAGAAAAACCCTCTCTTAATATTTAACGCAGAGGGGATTTCATACAGGGAATCCTACAAGTGATGAAACTGCTGCGAAGCAGGAGGCTGCTTCCACCCCAGGACTAGAGGAACAGAGTGGAGTTGGGGTTACAGGAGCCACCATGGAGGAGAGACACAGTCATTGCAAGAGCCTCTGCCCATGGCAAAGAGAGAAGTAAAGATTCTCCGGCTTCATCCTTCCTCCCGCCTTCCGTTCTCCTGACAGTGCCTCCCATTGGCTGTCCAAGGTGGAAATCAGAGTGCAAAGAAGCCTGGGAAATGTAGTCTTCAGGGGATCTAGAGCAGAGTAGAGCAAGCAGGACAAAGACCTCCATACCTCCCTCCCCACCGACAACAGCCCAGACTCATATAGTGGGAGATGCACACAGTAAACATAAATCTGCAAGCTGCAACCTAAGTGCCTTTGCAGTAAACGCTGTGAAGAAAGATAATGGGGCGCTTCAAGAAAAAAATGGCAAGAGGCATGAGGTAGATCAGTCAGGTGGTGAGTGGGGAGAAAAGCGTGCAGGAAAAGGGAACAGCATTTGCAAAAGCTCTGAACCTTACCACACTGAGCCGGAAAACAGGCACCCTGACGGAGCTGGGCGGGAGCAAGAAGCCCTCAATCTCCATAACGGGGGCCAAGGACAGATTCCCGGAGCCGAAGTTCAGGAGTGGGGCAGAGGCCACTGCTCCCTGGAGCTCCAAGTTCATGTTGGGGTACAGTCTAGCTAACTGGGAGCAGAATGAGGAGATTATATCAAGAGAAGAAAATATGCAGGTCTCTAGCAACCCTTTTGCCCCAGATAAAGCTGAGAAGGCTTTTGGTTGATTTTATTTCTCACAAAATGCTCTACGCCTTTTTCTTTTAATAGCATAACTGGACATCTTTCCATGCCAGACATACAGAGTCCGCACCGGCTGTTTCCTCGCCGGACTGCATTCTGCTGTGCGCTGTGCGTGGGTGTTGCCATTGACCCAACCCTGCTGGGCATTAAGTTGTCTCCAAGGTTTCGCCATCACAGTGACCACCTCCCTGAGTACCTTTGGCTGTTATTTTCAGGAAAACATTTCTAGAGGTGGAGCTACTGAGTCAAAGGGCAGAGATGTTTTTAAAGCTTTTGGAAGGTATTGCCAAATTGTCCTCCAGAAAGGTCAGGCCAATTTTCTCACTCCCCACCCCTCCCTAGGCAAGGGTCCTGCCTTCATCACGCTCTGGTAACCTGTGCATGCTGAGATAGGACACCAGTGTTTTTGAAATATGATACAACTAGATTCCGCCATTTCAAAAGCGCTCGAAATTTTCTGTTTCACTAGAGGTAGGTACAGAATTTAATTTGAAGCAAGACTATTCTTTTTGTAGGGGAAGTTGGTGGAAGAAGAACACTCCCTTTTGGTTATTTAAATATAAAATCTGCATCCTATTCTAGAAGGAAGAAGTTTGGAAGGTTGAGGAGGAAAACTGTTTTACTAAGAAGCTGGACAGAGTTGCTTTTCTGCCAGGTTGATTATGATGCAGGCCGGAAGGGGGAGGAGGAGTTTCCTTCTCTTTCTGGGGCAAAAGGGTTGCTGGAGACAGGATGTCGCCAAGGGCGTGCCAAGGCTGACTGGGACAACATGGCGGCAGGGCGGGCTGTGAGTGGGGCTCTAGGGAGAGAAAGGGCCTGTAGGGGGCGCCTCATGGAAGGACATGACCCAGGCACTGCAGGACTTGTAGTTTAATTTTTTCCCCCCCGCCATTACGGTCCCCCTCAGCAATCACCAAGCCTTCTGCAAGGCACGTTAAACGCTACTGCCTTTCTGGGCTGCATCCTGGGGGACATGGAGGGTTGGGAGAGGACTGGTGGATTTCTGTGGGACACATGAGAAGATGCACGTGAAGAGTTTAGCCCAGCAATGATGGAGCTACCAGGTTACTCTCTGCAACAATGATGTGGCAAAAGATCGGGAACAACCTACACGTCCTTCCACTGGGAACCAGTGAAACAAGCCATGGTAAATCCATGCAACAGCAGGTTGGATACCCAAGAAAACAGAAGAGTGAGGGCGCTCTTTGTCTATCCATATGAATGGTCTCTTAGATACAGTAAGGGGAAAAAAAGGTACAAAATGGCGTACAATATGCCTCCATTTTGTGTAAAAATACATGACACTTTGGGAGGCTGAGGTGGGAAGATTACTTGAGGCCAGGAGTTCAAGGCCAGCCTGGACAATATAATCTCTACCAAAAAAATTTAAAAATTAACTGCGTGTGGTGGTGCATACCTGTAGTCCCAGCTACTCAGAAGGCTGAGGCGGGAGGATTGCTTGAGCCCGGGAGTTTGAGGTTGCAGTGAGCTATGAGGGTGCCACTGCACTCCAGCCTGGGTGACAGGGTGAGACCCTGTCTCTTAAAAAGAAAAAAAAAAGGGAGAAAGATGCACAACACAACATTTGCTATAGAAGTTGAACATCCCCAATACAAATATCTGAAATCTGAAAAAAATTTGAAATCCAAAACACTTCTGGTCCCAAGCATTTTGGATAAGAAATACACAACCTGTATATACATGGAATGTTACCAGAAGGAAACACACAATCTGATAATATTAGACTGAAGATGGGGACTGGGGTCAGGAATGGATGGGGGACTTTCTATCCTATAACCTCTTATGTCTTTTGAATGTTGAACCATGAGAATTTATTATCCCTCAAACAAATAATTTTTTAAAGCACCAAGAACATGCCTGGCTCCTAGTAAGCCCTCTGTAATTGTTAGATGTTATGAATTAGGGTATGTTTTATGCAATATGCCAGCATTCCTTGGGATTCTTTATTTAAAATTTTATTATTATTATTGTTTTTTGGGGGCGGTCAGAGTCTTGTCTGTTGCCCAGGCTAGAGTGCCGTGGCATCAGCCTAGCTCACAGCAACCTCAAACTCCTGGGCTCAAGCGATCCTCCTGCCTCAGCCTCCTGAGTAGCTGGGACTATAGGCATGCACCACCACACCCTACTAATTTTTTTCTATTTTTTTAGTAGAGACAGAGTCTGGCTCTTGCTGGGACTGGTCTCAAACTCCTGACCTCAAGTGATCTTCCCACCTCAGCCTCCCAGAGTGCCAGGATTACAGGCGTGAGCCACTGCACCTGGCCTCCTTGTGATTCTTAGATAGCACCGATAAAAGACTGCACGAGCTGTGGTCCCAGGAGACATGCGTTCAGGCTTTTGTTATTTGGCCTTTGGGGGGAGCCTCGAAGCCTGCAGCACCTTCCCCTTCACTGAGGGTCTCACTCCTGGCGTTCAGACTCTGAGAGGAATGAGGAAGTTTTACAGAAAAACCTCTGAAGTCTAGTGGACTTAGTCTGCACCCATGGAGGGCTGAGAGACTCCTTACCCGGGGGGCGAAGGCTCGGAAGGACTTGGTGGTCAGTTTGAAGATAGAGTCAGGTGGAATCTGCGGGAAAGAGACAAAGTGGTTTTAGGGTGCTCCCCCCAGAGCTGAAGGTCTAAAGAGAATTAAGGAGGTGGGGAACGCTCAAGACTGCAGCTTCTCAACTGCCTGGGTTACCTTGGCAGTGATGAGACGACTGTCCTGCGTTCACCCTGAGCAGAGTATGTGAGTCCCAGCGACCCTGGCTGCTCTCCCTGGTCATAGGTGATGTATAGACCCCATACAGAGGGTCTGTAAGGGTGAGGTTCTCAGTCACACAAACCTAGGTTTCGGTCGTGGATTTGTCACTGTGTGATCTCAGGCCAGTCCTTTTACCCCCCTGAGCCTCAACTTCCTCATCTATAAAATGGGTATAATAATAGTCTCCACCTTCAGGCCATTGTGAGGGCTAAATGAGCATCTAGCACAGGCCTGGCACATAATGAGTGCTCTAAAAAACATAGCTATTATCATGCCAGCCACTAAAAGGGAGGCCTGTGCTGCAGGTGGGATGGGTAAATCCAATATGATAATGGAAGTAAAGGCCTGTGCAGGTGTGGGAAGCCTTCCAAGGACAAAATAGCACTCCCTCCATCTACCAGATGGTTCCCGATTTATACTAGAGTAGGTCAGACAATCCAAGTTGGACCACACTGTGTTTCTCCCACCATCCTGACATTGTTCATGAGACCTCAACTTTTACAAAATGCTACAAGAAACAACCTTTTGAGACCCAGAAATATTAAAGAAACTGGAAAAATATTAAAGATGCAATCCACTATAAAATTCAGTCTCCCTTACACAAAATTCCATTTGAGACAGTTGTTTGAGAGATAAGTGTTAGGAAGACTTTGTCCCTCCTTTTACCATGAATAACTTAATCATGTACCCTTTTCACTCTGGCTACAAGGAAACTCCCAGATAGTTTTATGAAATTAAAAAATTGATTTATGGGACCCGTGTCTTCATAATTGTGACTTTTCACTTAGTATTTATTTCTTTTTCTATGTACCTTTATGGATTTATCAGTGTATCCATTATCCTGCCTCATTCACTAAAATATTTTTAAATAAACCTCCATAAACCATCAGAGTGAGAGAAAATTGAATTAGAATAATAGGTCTAGACTAGGAGAAAAGCAGAACACAGACAAGCAAGCCGCAGAGTCTTCCACAGTTGTTATAAGGGAGAAAGAACTTTAGCTTGGAGCTTCCTGGCAGCCAAAGTAAAAAGGGAGATTGTATTAACATATTTTTCCTGGTCTTGATTTTTTTCTTATTTATAACTTACTATTTTAGAGGTATAAATGGGAGTGGAAAGGAAAGAGGAAGGATAGATTATGCTGTCATTTGAGAGCACTGTTCGCCACCATCCTCACCATGTCATTTGTGATGGAGAAGCTCAGGTACCCTGCCTCGTGATAAACCAGGCTGGCTGTGTTGAAGACATAATCCGAGATGGCAAAGTAGACCATGTGGTCGTGTTCCCCCGGCAGATGCATGACTGGAGCAAGGAGGGCAACTGAGGAGTGGTGATTAGGTTGAAAAATTTCACCCTGGAGAGAGAAATAGGGTCCAGTTGGACTTTTCAGTGTATCCCAGGGCTGGACTTCCGAGCTAGGCAGTCGCCTACACAGCCTGGTGACAGGCACGGGCTGGAGACGCTGCCTGAAACTCCACCATTAAAGACATTTTCCTTTGGATCAAAGTGCTGTGTCTCTCAATGAAAAGGTCCCCAGAAGCTTTGGAATATCAGCCATGGGATGTACTGGCCGGCCCCTCTACACCTCGGGCCAGCTCTGGTTGACCTCGCCTGCATAATGGGCAAGGCGGAGGAGGGGGCAGAGGGAGGAGGGGGGAGGGGGAGAAGGGGACGTTTTAAGACCTAAGGGTTGTAAGACACCTGTGGGAGAACCCCAGCTCTGGGAACACTCCCCACCACTCCATATTGCCCTGCCCTCAACACAGCAGGAACCACTGGGAAGAGGAGGACAGATCTGAAGTTAGGTGGACAGGTGGCCCCGGGAATGAGCTGACCCTGAGGGAATGCCTCGCTGGGTCTGGACCCACCCGGGCCCCTGCTCCAGGACACTTACCTTAAACATCACATCCAGCGTCTGGGCTGCGGCCCGAGGAGGCTCCACTAAACTGTAATCAATGCTGATGAAACCGTCAATGTCTGCTGTGACTGCGAACGGAGAGACAGGGGCAGAATTAGGAGCAGGATGCGGCCTTTGGCTGAAGGACAAGGGGTGAGGGCTCCGGCTGACTCACACTTGCTGTGACTGCTCCAGAGGCCCCTGCCCCTCTGCCTAAAGACCCTCCACCCAGCCCAGCCCCGGGGCAGAGAACTAATTCTTCAAGAAAGAGACTACGTGGGTTCCCTTGTAGGAACCCGGTGGGTTAACAGTGGTGGGGGTGTTATGCTCAGCCTAGGGCCTAAACACACACACACACACACACACACACACACACACACACACACACACACCCTCGAGGAGGAGCTCAGGTCTGGCAGCCCTGGGGCTTTACATCTCTAGTCACACCTAGAGCTCTATGCAGAAATAACAGGAAGATCCAGGGTGAACAAATGTTCTATGTCCCCTGCATTGGGTCGGCCGTGCCAGCCTGGACCTCAGGTGATGGGGTACCAACAGTACCCACGTGGGGCTTGGGGGCCAAGGCATCAGAGAACATCTCAGACAATTCGTCAGGGACTGTCCCTCCAAACTTAACATGTGTACCCTGGATCCAGGGACTCCGGTCGCAGAGGGCTCCCTGCAGCCCCGTTGACAACAGCAAAGGATGGCAAAACACCTAGATGTCCACCAGCAGGGGACTTACTAAATAAATGAAGACACACCACATGATAGGCTACTACACAGCTCTTAAAACAATGAGGTCTGCGGTAATGCCAACCTACACGCACCACGTGAGCCTACAATTTCACTCCCAGGTATGCACCCACAGACATGCCGCCATATGTACTAGAACATTCATAGCAGCACTGCTGCTGATGGCTTGAAACTGCAACTACGCAAATGGCCTTCAACAGTAGAACGGACAAGTAAACGGAGGGACGGCTACATGCTGGAGTGCCAGGCAGCAAGACGCCATCGACTACAGTACAGGCATATGCAGCAATGCGGATCAGCCTCATAACTTAGAGGTGAACAAAGAAAGACTTTTGGCTTTGAAAAAAAAAGACTCAAAATATGATTCCTTTCATGTACAAAGTGCAAAACTAGTCTTTGCTGGTAGAAGCCACTGCCCTGGAGGGCTGAGCACTGACTGGAGGGGACCCAGGGGCTCTGGAAGGCCAGTCGTGTTCTGCCTCTTGGTTGGGGTTATATGTGTGCTCAGTGTGAGACACTTCTTTAAGCTGTACACCTAGGATCTGAGCGCTTTTCTCTATGAATACACTTCGATAAAAAGTTTTAAAAAATGAGGTCAATTTATATGTTCCCATATAGAAGAATTTCTGAGATATACAAGTTAAAAAAGAAGCAAGGTACAGAATAGTGTTCATACTATGTCTACTAATATATATATATATTTATAATTAAGCATATATGCATATATTCATGAACAAAAAGAATACATATATGAATGTATATTCATATGCTTATACATATTTATAGTTGTACATGCAAAGAAAACATCTGAAAACATACACCCAAAATAGGGGTTACCTCTTGGAAGAAAAGTTGGGGAGAAAAAGGGACTTTTACTTTTTCTGTACTTATGTCCAATTTAATATTTTATAAGATACATATACGCTTTTACAAAAATAACATAAATAAGTTGTTCCAGGGGTGGGCAGGACATGCTACCTGGCAGAGTTTGGAGATAAGGCTGTAGGTCAGAGGTTACTGATTTCTGGATCATTTCGCAAATCTGAAAAAAAATGGGAAGAGAAAACCTGAGAGAGCCCCCCAGCTTTGGTCTGGCACCATGCTAGTCCCCTTAGTTACATTGTTTCACGTTTGCTCGGGGTCATTGATTCTACAAATGTTTATAAGTGGTTATCATATGCCAGGCACCAAGGAAATAGAAATGATCAAAAAATACAGGCCCCCAAGTCTGGACCCCAAGACTTTTCAAAGTCTCTCCCAAGGCAGGACATCTGAGCTAGGTACTCACCGACAGGCCGGAGACATTACCTGAAACTCCACCATTAAAGACATTTTCCTTTAGAATTTAGAGTTTAATACTAGAACTAGACAGGAACTAGTCAAACTAAGAGACTGTTTTCAAAGAATAGTTCTGGGCCTTACATCAGAACAAGAAAAATGAATGTGCATTTGTTGTATCTTAAAACATTTGGGTTCATACGTAAATATTTTCTTTGCTTATGTGTGTATGAGAGAGTCCTATATACACGATGAAGGAGAGAGACATGGGGAGGTGCAGGCCTAGTGTAGGGGTCGCAGATGTCTTCCCTGAAGAGGTGACATTGTAAGGGCAGGTAAAGGTTGAGCAGGCATGAATCAGGCAGGGGGTTTTATCTTAACCTCCCCTTCCAGCTGCCCCACTTTCTGGGCGAGGAGTTTAGCAGCAAGGAACCGTCAGGAAGCAAAGCGTGGTGAGGAACATGCGTGGTTGATCGCAAGGGAACCAGGAAACTCTGCCAGCCTCACCTAAGACTGTTCCCTCCTGACCTTGCCTCCAGACAACAGCCCATCCAGCCCTCCCCGAAGCCCCAAGCCCAGAGGCCCGCTCCTTCAGGGACCTGAAGGGCTGGGGAGGGGAGGCGTGGGCTGCCTCAGTCCCAGACACACAGTAGGTTCTGCCGGGAAGGTGGTTAAGGGTGTAGCAGGCGAGTGGAACGAGCTTAGGTTTGAGTCCTGCTCGGTCCCCACTGGCTGTGTGACCTTTGCAGACTCTCCCTCTGCTTTTTGGTTCTCACCCACAGGACACAATGACAAGGCCAAGAGCTTCCCAGGGATTTTGGGGGAGTGGAGGAATGAGACGGTGAGTACACATCACCCAGACAGCAAGCACTCAGTGAGTGCTTAGTATTCTTCGTGGCCCTGCTGGTTCAGACGCCACACCCCACCGCGAGCGGGGAATTAGAAAAGCCCTGCACTAGGCTCTGAGTTTTCCTGGGAGAGGGAGATTTCTGAGAATCCGTAGGGATCAGGGGTCAGGCGAGATCTCCATCTCTCCCGAAACACCCACCACCCCTGCAAGGCTTTTGGCATACACGGCTGCACATCCCAGGAAGCTCCAATCCCAACCCAGCCCCTCACCAGCAGGTGACACGGGGCAAGTCACTCCACCTCTCAGAGCTTCCTCTGTCAGTGTGGAAAGTGGCACCTCCCCCGCAAGGTTAAGGCTCAGATCCAATGGGACCGTGTGCAGAAAGGGCTTAGCTCATTATTCCTGGCCAAGACACAGGCTCCAGAAATAGCAGCCGTTATTGTAATAAATAAGAATAATTATACAGTAATATATTCTGCATAGCATTAATTATATTAATTTATCAAAACAATAATTATCATAGTACATAATAATTATAATTAACTGTAATGTATTACTATTGTTATGCAGTATTATTACTAGTATTATATAATATTATCATTCTCATTACCATCATTAACAGAGGAATATACATTAGCACATGGCAAGAGGGTGCCTGAGTAAGCTGGCATATTTCTCAGGTTCTTAGATCCCAGGGCCCCAGAACCAGAAAAGAAACAGAGAGCACAGCTGGCCACACTGGATGCGGGGGTCTGTCTGCCGTTCCTGCTTCAACCACTAGGGGACACTCAAAGCCAAACCAGTGGTTGCTCCTAGAGAAGATGTGTGTGTGTGTGTGTGTGTGTGTGTGTGTGTGTGTGTGTGTGCGTGTGTGTGTGTGTGTGTGTCGTGTGTTTTCCCCTCTCCTTCATCACTTTCTCCCTTCCCACACAAGATCATTGCTACAGACAGCTCCAGCTAGGCGTACGAAACCTCGGAAATGGGATTTTGGGATGAAATGAGTGGAGGAACTGAAAGTTATCATAAAACCTCTTTGTTTTAGCCAAAGATTACAAAATCTGGGCCTGTAATCCTAGCACTTTGGGAGGCGGAGGCCAGAGAATTGCTTGAGGCCAGGAGTTCGAGATCAGCCTGAGCAAAAGTGAGATCCCCGTCTCTACAAAAAAATGGAAAAATTAGCCAGGTGTGGTGCACTCCTGTAGTCCCAGCTACCCAGGAGGCTGAGGCAGGAGGATCACTTGAGCCCAGGAGTTTGAGGTTGCAGTGAGCTATGATGGTGCCACCACATTGCAGCCTGGGCGACAGAGTCAGACTCTGTCTCAAAAAAAAAAAGAAAAGAAAAGAAAAGAAAAGAAAAGCTTACAAAATCTGGAGATTTCACATTTTTTTAAAAAAACAGAAAAATCTGACACAGTGTGGCTGCCTCCCCGTCCAGGGCAGGTGCTTACGAGCTTGCCCGGCTCCCATGGGGCCCACGCACTCTCTGAAGTTACCTGCCTGGTCTCTGGCAGGCACCTGTGTCATGATTTCCTTTTTGGCCTTTGTGCAGTGCAGAGCAGTGTGTGACAGAGAGCAGGGCAGGGGTGAGCAGCAGGAGGGGCTGGAGTCTCTGTTTGGCTTCTGCTGTTTGACCCTTGGCCAAGCACCTGACCATTTCTATTCAACTAGTTGGACTTGGAGTCCAGAGAACTGAGTTTTGCCCCCAGCTTTGTCCCATACAAGCTCCATGGCCTGGGCAAATGATTTGTCTTCTCTGGGCCTTGGGCACACGTATGTCCAAACCAGCCTCCGTGGCCCCATCCAGGGCCAGAGGTCAGTGAGGATCTCCATCCAGCCCTTGCCTGGCTCAGCAGGCGCCCAGCAGCTCGGACCTTTTTACCTTGCTCTCCAACACTCTCCGGAACCTGGACTCGATCTGCTCATGGAAGACATTCAGCAGCCACCTGGGGAGAGGAGCACAGTGGAGAGTCGCCTGTCTGCCACCGAACTTGGGGACAGTGGGGTGGCAGGGAAAGCCAGGCCCTGGCCCCTGGCCAGGCCAGTCACCAAAGAGAGCCCTCCCCACCCCATCCTGCTGCACTGCTGCACCCCAGAACCCTGGGGAGGAGGAGGAGGAGGCAGAGTCTCTGCACACCCGTCCTGATTTGGTGCACCTGGCTTCTCAGCCACCTGCTGCACCCCAATCACTGCTAGGACATTTGGGGAGGGGCTTGAGAATCCACATTTTTCTAATCAAGGAAACTGAGACTCAAAGAGATGAAATGACTTGCCCAAGACTTGTATATTTTTCACAGTTTCCTTCAGCCAAAAGCCTTTGTATTCCTCCAATAGCCAAATTTCATTTACCTGACAAAGGCCCCCTGAAGTTTATTTTTTTATAGGAATGACATACCAATATTCCTGGCTTGAATCTGCATTTCTTCGTCTCAGCCGGGTCTCCCAAAGAATGATCTTCAAGTGCCCATGAAGAGCCTGTGTGTTCTACCCGGGCCCGTAATAGTATCAGAGGCCAGGCCGAAGGCTAGGTGGGCTGGGGACTGCAACCAGGGGTCAAGCAGGCAGCGTCTCAATGGGGACCTACCTCAAACCTCCTGATATTTCCACATCCACGTCGCGGATTCGGCCACTGCACTTGGAGGCAGTAACCGTGGGCCTCCCTGAGGGCTCGCTGCCCAACTGGAGGTCGACTGAAATGGTGATACCCTTGACACTCAGGTCAAAGGAGTTTTGTAGTTTCCTGGAGGAGATCAGAGAAGCCATGGTTGGTTCCTAGACCAGGGTCTGCCACCATTTGAGGGGAAATAGAAAGCTCAGTTCTTACCCCAAAATAAGCGGAGCAGAGCAAAGATTTAAGAACAAGAAATAAGGCCATAAAAGATCAAGAAGAAAGCCTGGATCCAGGATTTACAGTCAGGGGTGGGCGAAGGCATTTCTAGGCAAGAGCCAAGTCTCGGAAGTCATAAAGGAAATAGTTGATAAACTTGCCAGCAAAGAAAATTAAAACTTCAGTGGACAAAAAATGCCATCACAAAGAAAAAAATAAAATTGCATCATGAGACAGCCAAAGAGCTAATTTCCTTAATATATGAGCTAGTTTCCTTAATATACAAAGAACAAGTCAATGAAAATTAATAAGGAAAGGACAAAACAACCCAAAAGAAAAAAAAAATCAAAGATATGAATGGGAAGTGTAGTGGTAAATAAGCATATAAAAAGTTATTAAAAATGGAGATAACAATGACACCAGTTTTCACCTATCAGATTGATAAAATGTTTGAAGTATTAACACCCAGTGCTGGTGAATATATGAGTAAACACAAGTCCAGACACTGTGGTTGGGACAGCGCATTGTCATTACCTTTCTGAAACACAAATCAGTGGGATCTATCCTAATTCAAACACACATAATCTTTGGCCCAGTAATTTGACTCCTAAGCTTTTCTCCTGTGGCTCTTCCTGCCAAGATATATGTGTGGAGTGGCTCACTGAAGCATCATGGGTAATAGCAAAAAACGAAGAAACAATCTAAATGTCCACTGGTAGCGACAGGTTGAATAAGTGGGCGCCTGTGCTATGCAGCCTTTGAAAACCATGAGCGAAGATGTGGTCTCTCCAGATGATGAAATAGTACTCTTTCTTCATAAGGAATGAAGCATTAATGTGTGCTGTATCGTGGCTGAAGCTCGAAATTATTATGCTAAGTGAAAAAAGCCAGACACAAAATGTCACATATTTCTGTGATTCCATTTACATGAACTCTCCAGAACAGGTAAATCCATAGAGACAGAATGCAGATTGGTGGTTGCCTGCGGCTGGATGCAGAGAAATGGGGAGTGACTATGAATATTTAATGGGTATGGAGTTTTCTTTTGGGGTGATGAAAACGTTTTGGAATTAGATAGAGGTGGTTGTTGCACGACTTGGTGAATAAACTAAATGCCACTGAATTGCACTCTTTAAAATGATCCATATTATATTATGTGAATTTCATATCAATTTAAAAAATTACATTTAAAAAAGTAAAAATATTTGCCACAAGTTTAATGGCTTAAAATGAAAAACAAAAAAACGAGGTAGATCTTCACATGCTTTTATAAAGATCTTTAAGGTACTGCAGGGACAAAAGCCGGGGCAGAAGAGTGTGGCCGATGACTGTCACGACAACAGAATGAATGCACGTGGGTAGGTGACATATATACTGAGCATCTTTCTAAAGCAGCACCGAGCAGCAGAAATAGAATGGGAGCCACATATGTCATTTTAAATTTTCTAGAAGCCACATTAAAAGGCAAAAAGAAAGAGCTGAAATTAATTTTAATAATATATAATCACTTCAATATGGAATCAATGTCAAAATTGTTAATGAGATTTATATCTTTTTTGGTACTACATCTTCCAATCCAGTGTTTCATACTTACAATAGGTCTCGACTTGCACCGGGAAAGACATGTGGCTAGCGGCTATTGTATTGGACAGTGCAGGTCTAAAGTGTAAATGTGGTCGGGTCACTCAGCAGAGATTGCCAATCGTTCTGTTATGGGCTGAATTGTCACCACCCCTCCCCAGCGAAATTCGTATGTTGAAGCCCTAGCCCCCAGTACCTCGGAATGTGACTGTACTGGGAATAGGCCCTTTAAAGAGATGATTAAATTAAAATGAGCCCATTAGGGTGGGCCCTAATCCATTCTGACTGGTGTCCTTATACGAGGAGGAGATAAGGACATGAGGAGGTCTCTCAGAGGGTTCCAGAGCGCAGAAGAAAGACCACGTGAGGACATGGCAAGAGTGAGGCCACCTTCAAGCCAAGGAGGGGCCTCAGAAGACACGAAGCTGCCGGGCGCGGTGGCTCACGCCTGTAATCCTAGCACTCTGGGAGGCCGAGGCGGGAGGATCGTTTGAGCTCAGGAGTTCGAAACCAGCCTGAGCAAGAGCGAGACCCCGTCTCTACTAAAAAAAGAAAAAAAAAAGAGCGACAACAAAAAAAAAAAATATATAAAAAATTAGCCGGGCATGGTGGCGCATGACTGTAGTCCCAGCTACTCGGGAGGCTGAGGCAGGAGGGTCGCTTGAGCCCAGGAGTTTGAGGTTGCTGTGAGCTAGGTTGACGCCACGGCACTCTAGCCCGGGTAACACAGTGAGACTCTGTCTCAAAAAGAAAAAAAAAGAAGACAAGAAGCTGCTGAAACCTTGGTCTTGGCGCTCCAGCCTCGAGACCTGTGAGAAAATACGTTCGTGTCTCAGCACCCCGTCTGTTTGCTACGGCAGCCCTAGCAGACCAGCACGCCTTCCATCCAGTGCCTCCGAGTCAGACAGCTGTCAAAGTGCGGAGGGTTAGTGGCCCAGGGAGTGGCTCTTGACCAAGGGCAAAGGGAAAAAGGGTAACAAGCGGAGCTGGACAAGCTCAGAGGCGTGTCCTACGCTGTCCCCCAGCGCTCCCCAGCTGGACTGAGCTTTCCTCTCCCGCCACGCTGACCCCCTGCCCCGCCACGCTCCACGCCCCTGTG